ATAGGTTTTGATGTTTTATTTTGGTAAGGCAGCTTCCACACCTAATTTGCTCTTTTAATTCACAAAGACTTCACCATCTTGATTTTCACTCATCTTTAGACAGCTCATCTTTTACTTCCAATTTTTTGTTATTTAAACAAAAACTACAGAAATGCTACAGAAATAAGTTTTTACAATTTTTACAGTTACCAGAGACAAATGACAAAATCTCAAATGTTCCAAGCATAAAAATCAACTAAGTGAACTAAGAAGAGGATCCCAGTAATTTAGCATTTCCAAATCCAGTTTCTATATATTGTTTTACTTTCTCTTAAAGGCAGCTGGCCTTGCTGCTTCCTTCCTACCTGGATTTGGCAAGTCAGCAAAAAATACCATCATGAAGCCAATTTTACACTTTTTGGAATGAAAAAATAAACACAGAGCTCTTCTAAGGGAAAAACTCCATCCAAAACAAACTGCCATCTGGAGAGAGTTCTAGTTCAAAAGAACAGGGCCTCCATTTGCCAAAATACAGCATCACCATTAATAACAATCCTGATGGAAAAATAGTCCTGGAACCATAAGAAGACTACAATAATCATACCCTTTATCATGTAATTGCAATGAACCTGGGATGCATCAGGGGTGTCTAACAAATATAATTTTTGACACCCAACAGTCTTGTAGCCATGAAAACCAAATAAATGTCCAAGCCTCCACCTGATGGCCACGCCATTCATCACTGCTTGCACTTTTCTTCCACACACAACAGTTCACCAGGTCCTGGTGGGGACCAAGAATTTTCCTTGCTCCCCACTACCACTTCCAAACTCTTTCTAACACCATCCTTCCACTTTGAGGATCAGTCATCCATATTTATCACCCAATCAAAATTCAGGTAGTTGTTATTGACTGATCTCCCTCTGCTTCATCAATGAGTTCAGTGTCTGACACAGTCTCTCCACCCCATCTCAAGGACACCCAGCAATGGTTGGACCTTTAACCTTGCCAACACCTGCTAACTCCCACTTCATCTCTGTGCCTTTTTATTGGCTGGTCCCCATATCAGAATGCACCACTTCCTGGCTTTCTTCAAGTCTCTGTTAAAAGTTCTCCTTGTGTAAGGAACCCTTGCTGATCTCTTGTAATGCTAGAGCTTTCCCTCTGAGATTACTGCCATTTTATCCTGTGTATATCTCGTATATATCTGTGTATCTCTTGTATAGCTGTTTGCATGCTGTCTTTCACATCAGAATATGATCTTCTTGAGGGCAGTGGCTATATTTTACTTTCTATGTGTCCCTAGGACATAGAACAATGTCCAGAACATAGTAAATGTTTAATAAATGCTTGTTGACTAGTTAACAAATAGTAATACCTATGAACAATTTCCACCCATTCGATCAGAAGCCATAAATGCTTATCTGAAGTTAGACTTTGTCTTACCTTACAGTTTTCTAATTCTAATCGAACTCAATGATGTATTAAGCACTTCAATGCCTTTGGGGAATATTATATCAATAGGTACAATAAATCTTTGAAAAAAACTTGTTGAAACAATAACTTTAATAGAGTTGAAGGATAAAATGAACAAACACAAATCATCAGTATTTCTAAAATCTGGTAGGAAGAGAAAGGTAAATTCCATTTAAAATGACTACAGAAAGCATAAAATTTGAGAGTTTATTGGCACATGAGCACAAGCGTACATACAAACACCATGAATTACAAAATTACAAAACATTCTTTACAAAAATAAAGATCTGAATAACTGGAAGTATTGATCATGGGCAGGTAGAGTCAACACTAAAAAAATAGGACAAAACCACCTAAATTAATTTACTTATTCAGTGCCAAAGCAATCAAACAACCAAAAGCTTACTTTATAGAGCTATTAAAAAAAATTCATGTGAAGAAATAAAAGGTCAAGGATCTCAAAGGAAATAATTTTTTTTAAAAAGCAGGAAGGTGACCTAGTGGTAGCAGATCTAAACACTGTAAGGACAAACAACTTTGAAAGACTTGAGAACTCAGATCGACGCACTTAAACAACCACAATTCCATAGGGACAATGAAGAATGCTACTCACCTTCTGACAGAGACTCAAATGCATAATGAGACAGAAACTGGAAAGAGTCAGAATTTAGTTCTTAATCCCTATAACCTTTGGCAGCTAAATGGTTTAAAAAGATCCCAAGTCCCAATCTCTAGAAAGTATTTACTACTGCTGGGCACAATAGTACACCCCTGTAATGAAGAGTGTGATCTGAATTCTTTCTCCCATGCAACCTGACTGGGGCCCCAGCTTTCCTGACACAGGTTGGCATGAGAAGTCGGTGCCTCTCAGTCTTTGTGGCTGCCTCAAACCATACCCTAATGACGTGCTAACCAGATACGTTTTCTCCTGGAGATAATTAGGGCCACATCCAGAGAAACTAAGGGCCACTGTATCCTTACTATATATCCTGGTTGTGTTTGAACAAAGCAAAGTTCCCAACATCAAACCTGAACTAAAAGGGCAGTGGGGTTAGATCCACACCTACCACAGGAAAGCTAAAACTAGTGGGTAACTTGAGTGCCAGAGTTCTGCGCGGCAATATCAAAAGAGTCAAGCAGAATGGGTGTGTGCTCCAAGTCCAGTACCAATATGGGGAGCCCCCAGAGGTGGGAGGCCACCAGGCTGCCTCAACAGGGGTGAACTAAGTTAGAACCAGTGCAGATCAGAGCTTCCATGGTGATCAGTGGCACTGAGTCATGAATGGCTACTATACTTTCAGCTTGGGTGAGACAGGAAGGCCTGGTCTCACCTAAAAAACAAAAACAAGAAAAACAAACAAACAAAAAAAGGGGGAAAAAAGCCAGCACTTGCTACAACATTATTAAATCCTTTTCCCATTATTAAAAAATCTCACACTATATTCAAGCTGCCACTAATTTTTAAAGACACCCTCCCATGTTCCTCAGACAGTGTAGTGCAAGAAATTAAACTGATCAAAAAACTTAGTTCAAATAATCAGAAAAAATCATAGACCTAATAACTGGAACGAAGGTGTGCCAGAGTCCCCAAAGGTCTGATACATTTCCTCATACCTAAAGTCAAATTTGATTTTCTACAGCTTTTATTAATTACTAGTTGCTTTATATTATAAGAGCTACTTGGAATATTTCAGTAGTAAGGAGAGACAAGAAAAGATAGAATACCATTCAGGAATAAGTGGCAGGTTTTGAAATCAAACATATTATTAATGCCACCAAGCCTATAAGGAAATTTTTCAGAAAATCCAGATTGCCCCACCAAAAAAAAAAAGGGTGAAGGGGGCAACAGCTAGGTGGATAGAGTGCATATAGCACTGGTCCTGGAATCAGGAGGACCCAAGTTCAAATCTGGCCTTAGATACTTGACACTAGCTGTATGACCCTGAGCAAGTCACTTAAGCCTGATTGCCTCACCGGTGGGGGGAATGTATATATATATATATATATATATATATATATACATATACATATATATTATATATACATATTACACACACACACACACATATACACAATATATATTTCCATCAAGTCATTCAATAAATATCTATTTACAAGTTTAATAATATGTATTCTTCAAGACCTGTATAACCCCATGTAGTAAGCTGACACTATTTACTAAATAGTATCACAGTGGTCTGTCTACAAGAGATAAGGAAACTTTCAAAGAAATCTATTTCCTAGAAATTACTTTCACTTGAAGAATGTGGCTCTTAACAAAGGGAAAAGGTTTTCAGATGAAACCTGCTAAGTGGAAAAGCAAGTTATGAGACTATTTTCTTCCATTAGTTTTCCATATAACCATTTTTTATCTTTCCTTGGAACTGGTCCAAATTTGAGAAAACATCAATAACATTGATTATCAACAACAAAGTCACCACCTTGCCAATATTAACCTTATGCTGTTCAACCACTGAGTCTTTTTATGAAATAGTGGCTGACTTAAAATAATGCCAAATCTTTTTATTGCCTCCAAATAAGAATAATCTAACAGGTGGATCTATGTTTAATTCCAGGTTTCACATTTTAAGAAGAAAAACCAAGGACAATAAGAAAACATGTCATATGAGGAATATGTCTCAGGGACTTGGGATTATCTAGTCTGGATAACAGAAGGTGGTACTGGGAAGGAGATAAGATAGCTCTCCAGAATTACTTGAAGGGCTGTCCTGCAGAAGGCATTAACTTCTTGTTTAATATTGAAGTGTGAAAGTTAAAAGGAGACTATCCATCAGAGATCCTGTAGAAGGAATTCCTAAACAGGGAAGGGAAGGGTGGAACTAAATGACCTCTCAGTTCTCTTGGAACATTAAGAAATTATGAAGATGCTCTTTTTGTGATAGCAAAGAACTGGAAACCGAGAGGGTACCTAAACAGATGAACAAGTTATGGTCTACGAATGCTATGGAAGACCATTGTGCTATATGAAATGACGAATGGGATGGTTTCAGAGAAACTTGGAAAGGCTTTTATGTGCTGATGAAGTGAGCAGGATCAGATCATAAAGACTCTGAAAGACTTAACAACTCTGATCAATAAAATGACTAACTGAAATTCCAAAGGACTCATGATGACACATGCTATATTTCTCCAGATAGAAAGGTGACAGATTCATTTGGGGGGGGGGGGGCATGGCCAATATGGGAATTTATTTTGCTTGACATGGGGGTGGTGGGGGGTGTCTAAGGGAGAAAATTCAGATCTGAAAAAAAATTTTTAAGATGCTATACAACTTTTCATGCTTTGTTACATGATATGAAAAACAGCTGGAGACAGAAAAATTTGCACCTCAATGTTCTTGACAGAGGCAAAGGAAAACGAAGAAACTGGAAAAAACCTCTAGTGGCCACGCTAATTTGGCTAAGTAATAACAAACATCCCATCATCTCAAGATTGTCCTTCTCTGGACTATGAACACAAAAGATAAAACTCAGAACATTAAGTAAGCAAAAGTTTTGCCATAGGACAACATATTTCATACTTACCTTCCCTGGCTAACTATTACTGAATTTCCCCGACATGGGAAGTTTTCAATGTAGCCATCACTACAGTTGAATTTTGTCCAATCAGGGTCACAGACAGCTAAGAAGTGGGGCCGAAGTCTGCCTATGGAATACTTGGCAATGTCTGTCAGGGACTGGCTAGCAGCCGCCCCAAAGAGAAATGTCCCAATGGCTTTGTAAATAGTGGCTATGTAGTTATTCCTGACAAAGGAATTTGAATGCAAGAGATTATAGTAAACGGACAGGGCTTCTCCAAGAATCATCTGAAAAAGAGAGACAAGAGATAAATATTAAAAAAAATCATTAACTAAAAAAATTAATGAAGTGAAAATTGTGATAAAATTACAACACAAAGTAGTGTTCAAAAATACAAACTACATTTTTCTACCAATGATACCTTAATTCAAACTATAAAAAGATCCTGAAAATCATTTTCATTTCTTTTGGATGCTTGTCAAGAAATTATGGTTGAAAAAAAAAACTATGGTTGAGATGTTTTAAACCCTTTCTTTTTGCTGGTGCCCAGTGTTTAACACAGTGCCTGGCATGCAGAAAGTGCTTAATAAATACCTGTTGCTCTGTTCTTTTACCTTTATTTTCATAGCTTTAAAAGGTTGATTATATTGGTGTCCTTTACTACATGGAAGCCCTCATTTTTCAAAGACTGCAAACTTTCCCATACTAGCCCATTAAAGACTCAACTGGAATGCCCTCTATGTAAAGTGTATTTTATTCTAAGTTCTATTTCATTTGTCCTTGACCTTTCTCTGAAAGAGAAATGTCTGCTTTGCCAAAAGGGTGGTAATTTGAGGAAGTCAGAATCTGAAGTAAAGGAACAAGGATTGAATACGGTTGCCAAAGGTACAAAGAACATTTATTTAGCTGATGGTGCCTCTCAATTCCGCCTTTCCAGATCTTTAAGCCAGACTTCCTTTAGGAAGTCTTAATAAAACAGTCACTAAAAACCTGCTTAGTTGTTTCTTCTCCCTCCGAAAGAAACATTTTCAAGTGCATCTTTCTCATCTTTTTTGTACTTTTAGCAGAAATTAAGTCAAATCTTCCCATAAATCCAACAATTGTGTGAGTTTTTCCAGATGTCTGCTATTTGTATATGCGGATAACAATATTACTAATAAGAAGAGCTTTAAGAGGAGACTAGAAAAAATAAGTTTTAAGCAATGGATAGGAGTAAGGCACCTGAACCAAGAACATCTTAAATGCAAAGACTGATTATTTTTCAGTCAGAGAATCTTGATTCAAAAATGCTGGTTCTGCTACTTACTAGTTTGTGTGATCAAGAAACAAAACTTTCTGGTACTCATGTCCCTCACCTGTAAAATGAGGAATTTGGACTACATAATCTTTGAGGTCCCTATCAGCTCTAAATCCTGGTTTTTAATGATCTTGAGGTCACAAAAGAAAGCTTTCCAAAAATCATTTAATTCTAATATGCTTGGAAACACAAAATAATGAATGGCTATGAAAAAAAAAGAAAAAACATTTACTAAAAAATAAACTCTGCACTGACTACATGAGATAGAAAGACAAAGATACATTCAGAGAATCAATGGAGAACCAATAACTTGTCATATTTGCTTTCATCACGTGGTTTTTAATTGGTGAAAGGGAACAGGATAGGCCAAAGAGCAATTTTAGGTGGCAAGCCATTTATTAATTTCCTTATCTTTAAATACACACATGATTTTAATAAACAAATTACATTGCAGTTCAAATTCCATTTTTAGAGTGGGACTATCTACGTGATATAATTTAGAGGTAACAACCAATTACCAACCCCTGGCCAATGTCCTCTCCCAGACAACTCAATGATATCTGAGATTCTGGAATTAGATATTCATTTCTTTAAGTAGACTGAGACCCTAGGGGAATGGATCTTAATCCTTGTAGAACTCCCCTCAAATGTAGTGCCCCGACAAAGAACAGGGACTCAATAAAGGGGTGTGGGGAATGGGTATGGAGAGAGCCTGGAGGTCCCTGGGAAGGTGGGGCTCACCTGAAGGGAGGCTTGCTTGATTCTCTAAGAACCCCAAGTGTCATCCTTTGTGGAAGATTCTACTTAACAAATACCCTTTAAGCCAGGTCTGGTTGCCTCCTTTCTTCATTCACTGGCACTCAAAGTAGATCTATTATGGGGCACATTAACAGTCTCCAGACACTAAGGTGGCCCATATGTAGGATGACTCATTGAGATCCCTTTATAAAACAGCAAAAGCCACCACTGTAACTGATGCCTCTGAGTTTTTCAGGTCACCCCTCCTTAACCTCATACCTCTCCCATCCACTCCAACCTCTGTCCTGCCCCCTACCCTACCACTTAGCAAATCTCACTGCAACATCTAACTGTCACACTGGGTCCCATCCCCACTACTGCGCCAGCTTACCACCCACCAGATTCCCTTCAGGCCCTACCCAGGCCATGACCAGCCATCCTTCACTAAACCCTTATATTCCTCATTCCCTCCCTCCCTCAGGTCCACAAGCTGGAACCTGGCCCAGTGAAGTACAGCCCACAATTTGCTTTTCCCCTCCTATTTTCTGATTTTTTCTGGGATTTCAACATTGCTTAAGAATTTTTTTTTTATTGCTCTCATCAGTTTCATGAAATACTCCCTCTATTACTAACCACATTACTACCCAAATGTTACCCATCCTTCACAGTTCAGCCCCAATGACACCTATTTCTTTTTTTTAAATAGTATTTTATTTTCTCCAATTTCATGTAAAGACAATTTTTTTAATGTTCTATATTTTCCCACTTACAAGTAAAAACAATTTTTAACATTCAATTTCAAAAATTTGAGTTTCAAATTCTCTCCCTCTGTCCCTCCCCTCCCCACCTCACTGAGAAGGCCAGCAATTTGATACAGGTTCTATATATACAGTTATGCAAAACATTTCCATGTTAGTTAATGACACCTATTTCACAAGTGGTTCCCTGAGATTAGGAACGTTTTCTACCTACTCTAAAATCTCACAGGGATTTTGTTTGCACCTGCTTCAAGATTCCTACAGAGTACAAGGATAATATTAGCATATCCCCTTGTTCAAGTAATGACAAATTTCTGAGCAAATGCAGTACAATTCAACTAGATTTAAATGTATATAGCAAGTTTTTTCACTAGGAATTCTTTCATCAATGAAATCACAGATCTGGTCCAAAAAAGTCTCTATTTAAGTAGCTAGTATTTTCTCAGAACAATATTCCTAATTTTAAAAAAAATTACCCCTTTAAGAAATATTAATTACTTTCATATTTTGACTGTCAATTCCAGAATGCAAAGATTTTTTTTTTTTGGCAGCTAGGCAATGGGGTTAAGTGACTTGCCCAAGGTCACACAGCTAGTAAGTGTCAAGTGTCTGAGGCCGCATTTGAACTCAGGTCCTCCTGACTCCAGGGCCGGAGTTCCATCTATTGTGCCACCTAGCTGCCCCTCAAAGATTTTTAAACTAAGCAGATTCACTGATTTCCAAACCAGAGTAAAAAAAAAAGTAAAGAAATATAACTTGATGGTTTCTTGAAGGAGATCTCTTCATAAAAAGGATAGTCAATCATTAACATAACTATGTAATTACATAACAGTCTAGGGAGGATGAGTTTGCAGTAAAATAACTAGTGACTAACTATAAGATTAAATGTTTTTAAAGTAATTTATTTTGAATTATCAACAATCACTTCCATAAATTAATTTTGAATTAAATTTTCTTCCACCTCCCTCCCCAAAATGGCATGCAATCTCACATAGTAAATACTTTTTAATAATATTAATCATTAGGAGGTTTTCAGCACTGGGCTGAAAAAACGTCCACTCTGACCACACTACACTTAAAACGGTTTCCCCATGTTAGGGATTCATGTCTGTGTTGTTTTCAGTATTAAGATAAATCAAAGAAGGGATAAGTTATTTACATTTGTAGTGTTTTCTCTAGATTACATGTTAATACCTAATGTTTAGCAAATTATCAAGCCCAAATATGACCAAAGAAAGACATCCCAATAAATCTGTATTACTACTATTTATGTGGTATTGTTTTATCTATTTACAAATTATCCACTAGAGAAAAAATTCCATGTTCTATTTTCTACAAATAAGCTGCTACGAGATGAATTAGGGGTTAATCTGTGGCCTTCATATCCACTAAAGAAGTACTTATTTTAATTATGTACAAAACTGCAGTTCCCACTCCCCTCTTTATGGCATTACCTGGAAATGCTCTGAAGGAAACATGTTTTTCCTAGGGGTCAAATGAAACTTAAAACAGAGTTAGCAATTCTCCCTCCCCCTTCAAAACTTCTGAGAAAGCTTTAAGGTTAGCACTGGTTTGGGTAAGCAAAGTAGCTCTCATGTACACATAGTTGCAGTTCTCCAACTATCAAATTATTATAAAGGAATATCCTATCTAGATTCTAAATATTTGTTGTGCATTTTATGGATTTTTTTTTAAACCTGACCAGAGAATCTCAAAGAGCTCAGGACTGAAAAGGGGATCACAGGAGCTCCCTAAATCTAATTCTGCTCTCCAACATGGCAAAGAAACGTCATCCAGCCTTCACTAGAAGATTTCTATTGAGAGGAAACTATTACCTTTCAAAGCAGAGTAACACTTAGGCTGAAATTATAATTTTTCTTTTAAAAAACTGTGAATGGGATGTTATGTTTCTAAAAATCTGAGATATATGGAAAATATGAATCAACATACAATCTACCTTCATAATAAAGTTACTCTAATACTTGATTATTTTTTTGTACGTACTTTTTGAAAGAGAAAAGCTCACAGATTAATTCTACTATATATCTTGTCTTAGGCTCCAAAGTGACACAGTGGGTAGAGCACTGGGCCTGAAGACAGGAAGGCCTGAGATCAAATCCCATCTCTAGGGACTAGTCAAGTAACCTTGGGCAAGTCATTTGTTCTGTTTGTCTCAGTTTCCTCATCTGTAAAAGGGGAATAATAATAATAGCACCTACCTCAAATGATATTATATTTGTAAAGTGCTTACACAGGGCATGTTACCCATTAGGCACTATATAAATGCAACTATTATTGTTAGTTTATTATTTATCTCCAACTGCTTCTGAGCAACATATTAAGTAACTCTGCTTCTAAGGTTTACACATATTTAACAGATGAGACACAAACTTAAGGCAAATGACCCAAAAAGACATACTTCAAGAAAAGTAGATTTAACTTACAATGATTATACTGAATGGAATCATTATTCCACCTAATAATTCATAAGATA